GTTACTTGCATGTTTTTCTCATAAAACTGTAGGAATTCTTTATATAACTTAAAAAACATCCAATTTATTTGTCTTGTTTGCCATAAATATTTTTTTGGTATCATTTAACAATTTTGTTAAGAACCTGTTTTTAATCTGCTGGGCTTTTCACTTGGGCTTCTTTTATTACTTTGAGGTTACAGAAGTAAGCATCTGTCCAAGTTTAGCTAATGATTCAGTTCTATTCCCTTACACTTTCCATTAAATTTTTTCCCCCTGTATTTAATTACTGAACCATGCAATATTTATTTGGTGTATGGTATGAGGTGTTAAGTTGTTCTTCCTCCACCCAATTGCTAACTAATTGTCCCAATACCATTTATTAACAAATTTGTGAAGCACCCTTTATTATATGTTCACTATTATACAAACTATTTCTAGATTATCTCTTTTTTCCCTTCATGATTGAGTCTTGTATGAATACCAGTATCTTTAAAAACAATTTAAACTATATATTTCATCATCTGATATAGGTCTTCACGTTATTCTTCCTTTTCAGAATTTCTTTTGTGTTCTCTATTTTTCATTCCAGATGAAATTTTAAATCCTTTTATCAAACACCAGAAATGTATATTGAAATTTTGATAGAAATCATAAATTATATAAATTAAATGTAAACTATTAACATCTTAATAACACATAATCTTCCTATTCAAATATATGGGATTCTGCTCCATTTATTCAATTTTTCTTTTACAACAGTCAGTAGTTTCGTGAACTTTCTCATACTAAGACTTTCTCCTTACCTGGAATGGACACCTTTTTCTACAGCTGTCAAGTTCTAAAGATTTGCTCCTTCTGGGTTAGGAGAAGGCTTCAGGGTGGCTAAGGAATCTCGTTCGAGGTAGAGCCACTAGTTTGCCAGCTGGTGGGCTTTGGCCGAGTGACTTTAATAGTTCTCAAAGTGTGGTACCGTGCTAGCAGCATCAGCAACACTCAGGAAGTTGGGATGGGGGCCAAGAATCAAATTCTTGGGCCCCTGGGAGCCCTACTGAATAAGACAGTCTGGGGTGGGGCCCAGCCTTGTTTGACAAGCTCTCGATAACTGCTGAATACTAAAGTTTGAGAAATAATACTTTTTTTTAATTAAAAAAATTTTTTTTATTTGGCTGCACCCAGTCTTAGTTGCAGTACACAAGATCTTCCATCTTCACTGGGGCACGCAGGATCTTTAGTTGGGGCACGTAGTCTTAGTTGTGGCATGTGGGAATCTAGTTCCCTGACCAGGGATCAAACCCAGGCCCCACGCATTGGGAGCTCAGAGTATTAGCCACTGGGCCACCAGGGAAGTCCCTGAGGAATATGCCTTAAAGCGATGACTCTTAACCTTGGCTGCGCAGCACAGCCAGCTAAGGGGCTTCTCAAAAATACTGTGGTGAAGTCATTGCTCCCTCCCCACCCCCATGCTGACTGAATTGGCCTGGAGTGGAACCAGGCACAGGGTTCTTCTAACCTCCTGCTGGTGACTCCAGCTATGGCTGGAAGCTGAGGGCCACAGCTCTAAACTGCAGTTCACATATAAAATGGGAAAAGTGATACTTCATAGCGTGGCTGTAAGCATTAAGCGATATGGCTTAAGGAGCTAAGCACAGTACTTGCTGTGCTGTGCTCAGTCGTGTCCGACCCTGCGACCCCATGGACTGTAGCCCACCAGACTTTTCTGCCCATGTGACTTTCCAGGCAAGAATGCTGCAGTGAGTTGCCAAGTCCTTCTCCAGGGGATCTGCCCAGGAATTGAACCTGGAACTCCTGCTTTGGCAGGTGGATTCTTTACCACTGAGCCACCTGGCAAGCCCAAGCACAGTGCTTAGCAAATGCTAAAACACCGGACAAATGGTAGTTATTGTTACGGTAATCCTCAGACTTAGCAGATCTATGCTACGCTGTCATGTCACGAAAGGTACAGGCTTTGGAGTCAGGTGGCTGGGACTTAACCTTCTATGTCAGTCTAAGACATTTGGAGCTGTGTGATTTTTAGCAAAAGACCCAAGCCTCAGTTTCTGCATCTGTAAAAGGGGGGATACTTATGATATGGGAATTAAATAAGATCAGGCTTACAAAGCACAATCCCCACATCCGATAAATGCTCTAAAAACACTGACATTACTTGCAATTATGGTTGTCACTGCTTGTAAAGTTCCTGATAGTTCAAACCACATTGATCTCTCAAAATGTTTCAAGTTCAGTATACATTTTTTACTGGTTTTCCAGTTATCTCCACATCCAGGGCTTTACCATGTTTCCTTGTTTCATCTAAGTCTTCTTGAATGTATTGCTGTTTGTTTTGGTGATTTTATCTCATATATATGTAATTTTAAATATATAAAAATATATATTTTAATATATGTATATATATTTAATATATATATAAATATACATATAATTTTTTAAAAGAAATGCTTCCTTTTGAACTTATAAATGAGTACTTAAGAAGGACCATGAAGTCAGGATTGGCAGGTTGAAAGACATTTCCCTCTGCCTTTTGCTTTTGAAATTTGTTCCTGTCTCTCATTCTCTAAACTTTGAGACTTAAAAGCTTTGGGGGAAGTGTGTGAGGAAAGAGGAAAAAGGTGAAGAGGGTGGGATTTTATTTTTTTAAACTTTTTATTTTATATTGGAGTATAGCCGATTAAAAATGTGATAGTTTCAAGGGGACAGAAAAGGGCCTCAGCCATACAGATACATGTATCCATTTGAGGGTGGAATTTTAAATTCTGACTTTTTTTGTGGGAGGAGTTTCATAAATAAAAGCATTATGATGTTTGTGTGCTTTAAAAAAAAAAGTTACTGGAACCCATGATTACAGAAACAGTAAGATGCATCTCACATCTTCTTCCTGAACCTACCATGCTGCTTATAAATGTAGAGAACTCATATTTTTAGCAGGTATTTATCGACATTGCCTTGGAAAAATCTGCTAGTCAGAAGCAATTCTCATTAGTCATATAAATAGCTGTCTGTAAAAATATTTGATTAACCTTTTATAGTATACCTAGTCCTTTTCACAAATATTTTCATTAATCCCATGAAGTACTATCATGATTTTACAGAGGTAGAAAGTCTCAGAGGTGGTAAGGGACTTAATATCTCCTAGCTGGAGACACAAACCCATGAGTTTTGAATCATGGGTTTCAGAAACCAGTCTCTTTTTACTAAGCCATTCAAGGGTGAAATCCTCCATGCACATGAAACACTAGAGGGAAAACAAATAGTTTTGGTTCTGACCAGAGAAATTAAACCATCTGGCTAGCCAAAACCCAAGAAAGTATTTTTTCTAGTTGCAGTTAGCTCTTAACTGCTGGTCGCTGGTGTCCTGAAATGTGTTGATTCCATGGAGTTGAGAATTGACTCTTCCCTCTCATCTTTTACTTTCCGTCTGGTCCACCGTTCAGTACAGATTGTTTTGAGCTGCAAAGTGTTTGCTTGTTGGTTGGTTTTAGGGTGCAGCTCATGTACAAATGCATTTTAGCTTTCTTATTTTCAGCATGGAGCAGTGCCACGCCAACCTGCTGAGTTGTCTACAGCTTTCCTGTCAAGTAGTGCTAAGGCTCCTTGGAGGCTCAGGGACCATCAGCGTAGCAACACACCGATCCTTGGCTTGTTTTCTGACTCAGGGGAGCTGCTGACATCTAATGCACTCTTTAAAGTATCAAGCTAATGCTCCTAAGTTCCTCTTACAGTCAGTCTTTCCCGCAAAAGGTGGCAATGGCGATTCAGAACATCCATTTAGCTACACTGGGTTCAGGCTGCAAGCCTGTTTCTCAGCCCAGCATCCTGGAGCCCATCTACCCAGCCCGCTCCTCTGCACTGGCCAAGAGTAACAATGTATCTTCACTTTGAGTCCCCAGGATCTGGTCAATACTTTACAACACACACATGTTCATTCACAGATCCTAGGGACTAAAGCTATTCGTCTGTGTCCTCTACAATTAGCATGTGCCAGGTGCTCAGGAAAGTTCTAACTGAATGGATTCTCAGATTTCTGCTGAAATTCATGTCTATCAGATGGAATTATCCATTTTTAGGTATTTCTTATTTTTATCAACTGTAATATAGGCCCTAGCCATACCATCTGGATAAGTATCTTTAAAAATACCATTTATCTAAACATATGGAGCAAGATTCCTACTAGTTCAGGAATTATTCACAGGGCAGTTACTGCCAATATTGCCAGTGTTGCAGGGAAAGAAAATTACAGCTAGAGCAGTGGCTGCTGGTGCTTTGCCAGTGGGGAACAGGGGTTAAAGGTGCTTTATTTTCCACAATAATCTGCATATAGTTACTGCTTCTGTACTGTACACTTAAAAACAGTCAGGATTTAACTTTTATGATTTTGCCACAGTAAAAATAAAGTATTTAAAAAATTTCCTAGACAGTGCTAGAGATCTTCAGAATACTTGGGGGGAAAAAAAATGCATCTCATTGGAAACTCACTGCTAGAATACAATAAAAAGTTTAAATCTGGTTAACTATATACAAGTTAATCTGGTTAAGTCCAAGCTTTTTCAAAGAACTTGCAAAACCCTTCACAGTCTGGCTTTTGTTTCATTATACTAAAGTCATACTAGTTCCTGTTTTTTCAGTTCCTCAAACTGGACCATTTCCTTTACCTTCGGACTTTGCCAGTGGATGTTCTCTATGCCTCTAATGCTTTTCCACCATTTTTATTCTGCCCCACCCTAATTTACTCTTCAGAGCTCTTTAGGGAGGCCTTCTTTAAACTACTTAAGGAAGTTCTGGCCTCTATCCCTGTGGATCAACCCATCGATCCATCCACATTCTCACAGAAGTCTGTCTGGATTTTTCCTTTGTAGCATATAACACAGTTGTATTTGTGTAACTATGTGATACCAGTCTCTCCCACAGGACTGAAAGTTCCATGAGGTAGGGACTGTTTCCTGCAAATGACTGTATTACCAGGGCTCTGGCAGCTTGTATAAAGCAGGTATTCAGGACTCTCCTACCAGGCACAGCCTTTTATCCCACAAACTTATCTTACAGATATTCTCAAAGGAGTAGGCAGAGAGGAACATAAAGTGTGTGAGCTTGGTGGTGGAGACAGTGGTTGAACAGCCGCAGAGATGATAGGAATGGTTTAGGTGGGGAGGCAAGAAAGGAGTAATGAGGACGTTCATTTAATGAGTTTCCCCTCCACTCCTCCAACACCCCATCCCCTCCCAAACCAGTCATTAATCATGCGTTCCATTTCTTTGGGGAATAAGGTAAACTTCAGATTATAGAACCAAGGCAGATAATTTTGCAGAATTAGAATGAAACCAGTCACAATTCAACTGCGTTAGATTTCAACACGAATGTGATGGTATTCCTCCAAACAGTCTTCAACCTGGAAAGCTGACACTCCTCCAGGATGTGGATGTAAATATACTTCCTTCTGCTTTCAGCCACTGAGAGGAAAGTCCTCCCCTGATGGACCAGCACTATTTCTTTTTCGCTGCTCTTTTCCCTTCTCCTTTCCTTGGCTTCTCCTTTCCACGAAGCTTCTTTAGACGCAGCTGCTCATCCTTGAAGTCCTGATGTTCGTCTCTGAAAGGAGGAAGAAAAAAATAATTAGCCAGTATTTTTACCCAGACTGGAAAAGTACACCTGTCTAGAATGTTCCCTTAGGTGGTTCTGGTCATAAAACTCTGACTTCTACAGCTTAGTGAACAGGAAGGACAGGGAGCCCCTGATGTACAGACAGGCTGTGTTCCCAGAGTTCCCTTCTAAGTCAGTTTCCCCTCACAGAAGCAAGGTCACAAACAGCAGTTAATTGCCAAGCCTGTCCATGTAAACCGATATAAGTAGGATTCAACACTAATAACTGCCCCATTGACGGGGGCAGAAAGTGGGTATAAGCTTCAGTAGCTACACAAGACCCTGGGAGGCCCAGGGATCAGCACCTAAGCGGACAGTTGTGGAGCAAGCTGCCTGGATGACAGTGGATGAGTCACATAGAAGGCTGCTGGGAGTCTCCGGCAGAAGGAAGCTGGGTCAGCAGAGAGCAACTCTACAGACAGGTCCTAGAGGGATCAAGGCGGCCAGGGCTGTTTGTACATATGAATGGGCTATAAGCTGAAGACTGCCCGTACTGTATAAAAATGTCTCCATTTTACAATCAAACATGGCCATTCCTTAGTATCCTTGAAGGACTGGCTCTAGGAGCCCCCACCAAGAGATACCAAAATCTACTGGTGCTCAAGTCCCTTATATGGCATATCATTAGCATATAATCTACACACATCCTCCTGTATATTTTAAATCTACTTATAATGCTTAATAAATGTAAATGTTATATATAAAGAGTTGCCAGTGCACAGCAAATTCAAGGTTTTTTGGAACTTTCTGGAATTTTTTTTTTCCCGAATATTTTCAATCTGTGGTTGGTTGAATCTACAGATAGCTAACCTATGGATAGGAGGGCCTAAAACAGTATCGTATTTCAATATGTAAGCTCTGGAACCCATGTGACCCTGGGTTCAAGTCACAGCTCCACCATCTAGTAGCTGTTTAGGTGAGGATTCTTCCCTCTCTGCACCTTGGGCTCCTCACCTGTACAAGTGTGGATAGTGGTAAATGAATTAAATGTAAGAGAGCGGTTTCCTGGGCCCAATTTTAACTCTTGATGCCGTTTTAGGGTTTCCCTGGTAGCTCAGCTGGTAACGAATCCAATGCAGGAGACCCTGGTTCGATTTCTGGGTTGGGAAGATCCCCTGGAGAAAGGCATGGCAACCCACTCCAGTATTCTTGCCTGGAGAATCCCCATGGACAGAGGAGCCTGGTGGGCTACAGTCCACAGGTCACAGAGTTGGACATGACTGAATGACTAAGCACACACAGCACAGCTGCTTTTTAATTTTTTTATTCTTTAATTTTTGGCTGTGCCGTGTGGCTTGTGGGATCTTAGTTCCCCAGTCAGAGACTGAACCCCAGCCCTTGGCAGTGAAAGCTCAGAGTCTTAACCGCTGGACCACCAAGGAGTTCCTCCAGTTTGTTTAACTACAACAGACCTCTCTGGGATTAGCTATGTGCTGTGCTTTGCTTAGTCGCTCAGTTGTGTTAGACACTTTGCGATCTGATGGACTGTAGCCTGCCAGACTCCTCTCTCCACGGGGATTCTCCAGGCAAGAATGCTGGAGTGGGTTGCCATGCCCTCCTCAGGATTAGCTATGATTGCCCCCAAGTAAGTCACTCTCAAAAAAAGCAGCCAGAATAATTCTACTGAGACGTAGGTCAGATCATGTCACTCCTCTGTCCACAGCTTGGCAAACTGTTCTCTGCTTTCTCAGCCCCCTTCACAACCTGCCTCCTGTCCCAAGGCTTTCCCTTCAGCCTGTGAGGCTCCTGGAACAGGTGAGGCGTATTCCGCAAGGCCTCTGCTCTGCTTTGGTCTCTGCCTTGAAAGCTCTTCCTTGGGTCCCCCGGCTCACTCTCCACCCTCAAGTTTCTGCGGAAAGCTCGTCTTCTCAGTGAGGCTACCCTGGCCGTTCTGTTTAGTACTGTGATCCATCCTCGCCCTGCCCACTGAGGGACCAGTCAGCACTCTTGAGCCTGCTCAGCTGGCTCTATTTTCTCCCCCTGCATCACATTCAACTTTGTAACATACCACGTAATTTACTTATGATGTTTTTTCCTTTCTTCTTCCCTCCCATCAGTCATTTCTGACAACCCCCCAGACAGAAAGAGTTCCAAAGGCAGAAAGGTGGGGGTCTTGTGGATGAACTGCCCGAGCACCTGCTTGATGGAATGAGTCACGGTTTTTGAGACCCTGATTGCCTCCCCATTTTGTAGGTCTTTGTAATATTTTCTTTACTGAAGTTTGTCTGCTTTCATCCTGCCTGACTCCCCAGGAGGCCTTGCGTTAGAGGCACCATTTACCGTAACTAGTGACTACATACGTGAAAATAATTGTACTTCTCCATGGATAACTAAAGCCAAGTGTTTTTCCTCTGTCCCCAAAGATAGCTGAGGCTTTATTTTTCAAACAAATGGGGAGCAGCAGCAAAAAAGTAAATTAAAATAACTGAAGGTAATTTTGGTATGGGTTATGATTTTCTACTCAGGACACTATCTTTCAATATTTTATTTGGGGTAAGAATAAAATTAGTTTTTATTTTTTTGAGCCAAGACTTTAGGGAGATAATCCCAAAAGCAATTCCAGAAATTCAAAATACATCATGGATTATCATCTCTAGTGATATATTAACTAAGCAAATCTATTTTGTTCATAGAACATTTCCTTTGTGCCCATCTTAAATGCCTGCATATGGAAGGTACTTAAAAAAAAAAATCTGTTGGGTAAATGAATGTACCAATCTCTTGTTATTTGGAATGAACTGTTAATCTTATTATATTAGAGCAAACAGTCCCAAATTAATTTTTGTAACATTGCCTTAAGACAATTAAAACATGTTAAAAAAAAAGAAGTAGGCATTTAACTTTATACAATTATGTACTGTTTAAATTCTTGTATAATGAGCATGTATTTGTTTGGTAATTAAGACATTTTTTATTTTTATTTTTTTAAGACATCTTTTAAAAGAAAAACGATCACAGGGGTATTTGATCTTTTTTCTTTCTAGAGCAGCATATTATCTTAAGCACCCACTTCCTACACATGCACAAACATACAAATGCATGGTGGAAAGAGCCTGCTACTCTTACTATTACATATTATTATCCTATTATAATGTTAATTACCTATTATCCATAAAGGTAAACTTCAGCTTTAGTATACCAAAAAGGGTGCCAATTAAAAATGCCCAAAGAGGGTGAAAGGAAATAAGAAATTCAACAAAACTGCCATCAGGAAAGAAAGGAGGCTCCCCCTCACCAGTTAGGAAGCAGGTCGGCTGTGCCCTTTTCATCTGACCAACGGGATCTGCTCAGTGTGTGGACCTGTTTCCTCTGCATCCATTGAGCGCTCTTAGATTAACGACTAATTCAAGGTCCCTCTATAGCTCAGTATCTAGTCAATGGGAGTCACATCTTAGACATAATTAACGTATGTCTTCTAGTGTGTGCATGTTTCCTTTTTTTTTTTCCTTTTTCTTAGTATACTCATTATGGATATTTTGAAAGCTTTCCCCTGCCACAACTGTACCTTTTGAACTACCTGGGCACTATTATAAGAACCAAAAAACTATAAAAGTAGAAAGGCCAATCTTTTCCCCTTTCTGATCTATTAAACAAACCTCCTACAGGTTACTCTTTGTGGTTTTTTATTTTATTTTTTTGTCATTACCTGTAGAGGCCAAGAAAACGTAGTATCCCCATGAGTGCAAAGTAAGTGTTGTGATTTGGATACCAGTCATAAGTCTCCTTTCTCTTGGCCAAAGGCTGCTCACTGAACAGCTTCACCACTTTCATGGATTTGGAATCAGTAGGCCTGGCAACCTCACCGAACAGCCGGGCACTCAGACGACTCATGCGCAAGGCATATTCTGAAAGTGAAGACATTTCTTGAGCAGCAAGGAACAAGAGGCCCTATAGAAAAATGAGAACACAAACAGTTCATGTTAAGAAATTCCCAGATTATCTAAGGAATACCTTACAAAATGAAAACACAGCGAGCCACCCATGACTTAGTTCATGTTGGCAGGACATGCCTTGGGGTTGAGAAATATCCACAGTTCGAGTGGTTATTTCCTTTGCATGCTTTCCGCTCGCATCTTTTACGTTTGGTGTTCGCAGATGATTATTCCTGTGCTGTAATGCCCGTTTTACAATGAACGGTTTTGTGATTTAATAGGTTATTTACTGATAGTCAGCTTACCTATTTGTAGGCTAGATGAGGACAGGGAAACAAGTTATCCAGCCACAGCATCTGTTATCATACCTTCAGAAAACATCGACCTCAGCACTCTGCAGAATAAACATGCTGACTGCTTGCCATCTAAAGGTTTAATCATGGTGGAGAAATAATTATGCTGTTGTCTTTATTATCAGCCCTTTGAACACTGTTCTCCTCAAGGGCTCCAGATGGCTCTGAGAACGGCTAATGAATTATGAGGTCATTTAGCCTCTAGGTTGCTGGATTGGATTCTGCCTAGAGACTGAGAGCCAGTTGGGAAAAACAGAGATAGTAGTCTTATAGGAACTAACTCGACGGCTCAAAAGATTCATTTTATTCCTGAATAAAAGGTATTTATGAGTTGTGATGTGACGTGTCTTATCTTCCATCTTATATATTCTGTTTTAATGAAAACTTGCTAAATTCGTATTAGCTGAAAACAGTAACTTTTTCTTTGGAGGCATAAAATGGTGAAATAGTGTAAGAATGATATCTGCAATATGCAGAAATTACAGGTAATATATATTGAAGATTATATAAGTGATACATTAAAAATCAAGACTGTTCACAAGTATTATACCAATATTTTGTAACTATAAATGGAATATTACCCTTAAAAATTGTGCCACACTATAGGGTATATCTGTAACATATGATACTGTATATCAGTTATAATTCAATTACAAAAGCAGTAGAGAGTTTCTTATATTAGAAAAAAGAATGATGCTAGTGGACTAACTCTCATTCCACTTTAGTTTAAACATAAGGGTAACTGTCAGCAGAGTATACTAATTTACATGAACTTTTGTGGTGACATGAGAGTTTTGTTGACTAAGACAGTATCCTGGGGAACAGTTCATCGAGGATGAAAAGGAGCTGACCTCTGAATAGAAAAAAAGGCATCAACCTATCTTGAAAAACCAATCGAAGAAATCTATTTTAAAAAAAAACTCTCCTAAACAGGAATGCTGCCAAGTAAATTTCAAAATTGCTCTGGCAATTTAAATACCCAGTATTTAAAGAACTTTTCATGTCCATTCCAAGATCCACTGAAAGAGTGTAAAGGATGACCTGAAACCAATTTCAGGTCAGTCTCTAACCAGTTACCTTCTGAAAACCAACCAAGCAATCTTGGGCCAACAGTGCCACCTGAAGGCCAGCAATGGGAGAACGGTCAGGTCCAAGGTCTCCCCCCTCCAACTCCCCTCCAAACTGGGATCTGTGCAAGCCTTACTCCTTTCAGCGCTCTCTGTTCCAGGATTCCCTTCTTTCCCAACTCTTGCTCCACTGTGGATGGGGATGGATTGGGGTTGTTAGGGCTAGGTTTATAATTTCATCAATGAAAAAAAGTCACTAAGTGTAACATATAAAGAGAATATAATAATGTATCAGGTTTTGCACATTACCAGAAGTTGCCTTCAAAAGCTACAAAAAGTTTCTTTGCATGCATTATCTTTTCTCTTCCCTCCACCCTTCAGTTCAGTTCAGTCGCTCAGTGAGAATATAATAATGTATCAGGTTTTGCACATTACCAGAAGTTGCCTTCAAAAGCTACAAAAAGTTTCTTTGCATGCATTATCTTTTCTCTTCCCTCCACCCTTCAGTTCAGTTCAGTCGCTCAGTTGTATCCGACTCTTTGCGACCCCATGAACCATAGCACGCCAGGCCTCCCTGTCCATCACCAACTCCTGGAGTTCACCCAAAATTGGGTGAACAATTACCTATTGTCTCTAAGTATGAGTTTCCCTTTCAGAAAACAAAGCTTGCAGGGCTGTGTGAGAAATAAGACAGTGGCACTGAATAAATGGCAAACTAAAAAAAGCAAAAACCTAAACGTGCTTGGTATTCGAACGTTCTATATACAGACACATTTGTTTGTTCCTTGTCCTCATTTAATCATGCACAAAAGGAGATGCACACCCCATGCAGTTGAACCTGTGCCTCCCTAGAATGGTATCCTCACAAATACTGACACCCAGGGAAACACAGGGGAGGGGACCACATCCTGGGAATAAGGAAGAAGGGACTCACCAGGACTGTGATCACTGAAAGCATCATAGGATGCTCAGTCATCTCCGTGCCAACCTTGGAAGGCAGCAAAGTACTGGGACACATGGCTCATAGATAATAAGGTCTCATTAGAATCCAACGGAGGGCTTCCCTAGTAGTCCGGTGGTTAAGAATCTGTATGCCAGTGCAGGGTTTGATCCCTGGTCTGGGAAGATTCCATGTGCCATAGGGCAACTAAGCCCATGTGCTGCAATTGGTGATCCTGCGCATTGGAGCCTGTGCTCTGCATCAGGAGAAGCCGCCACAATAAGCCCGAGCACTGCTACTAGAGGAAAGTCCACATGCAGTGATGAAGAACCAGTGCAGCAATACGAGTAAATACATAGAGAGATTTTTTAAAACAAAAAGAAGAATTCTATGGAAATGGTCCTGTCACAAAGTCCAAGTCCTAGAACTTTTCTGATGGAGAAAGAGAATAAGTCTTTCCAAACCTGAAACATTTACTAGAAACAAAGAAGCACTTGCTAAATAGAAGCAAACAAAATGGCTGTAATAATTACCAGTTACTGCTTTGTAGCCTCTTACAGAGCACAGACCTATATGTTCCTGATGAAGGATGGCATAGGTGCTAGGTAATCCTTTCTTTCATATAGACTAAATCAGCTCAAAAGTTCTGCTGTCCATAAATACTGGTCCTGAGACTGGCAAACTACCGCTCTTTACTAGCTTTGATTTCTTTTTTTTTTTAAGATTGGGAAAGCCTTCCCTAGGACTTTTCAGGATCCTCTATGTCCCTTTACAGAAACTGTCAACTTTATCTTAAACACAAACAAACAAACAAGAACATGATTACTGTGTGAAAGACATTAAGGTAAAAGGCAAGAAAATTAGATTTTTATTCACATGAGGCCACTTAAAATATCAAATTTTCTTTAAATGTGAACTAAATAAAACAGTATCATGAAGAAAAATTACCTGGATTGAAAATGCTAAGTAAAAACGAATTACTGAAATGTGCTGGAGCAAGATATGTTAGGCTCACAGGAGAAAATGTCCATATTTTTGCTTTAGCATATAAGGGTAAGTTTCTGTATCTTTCTGATAGGTCTGATGCAGTAAAAAGATCAGGTTTGTACAGTAACTGGCTTTGGATTACGTTTTTCTTTTTTCTTTGAAAAGTGTGGATGATGTGCAAGAGTTCTTCCTATCTGTAGTCAGACGCGTTATCCATTGGCCCGCTGGCCCCCTGCTGTGCAAGAGTTCTCAATCTGGGTATTCCTCAGTGTGGTGAATCTCGGGGAGCTGTATTTAGAAGCATATGCTGAAACGTGTGTGTGTAAATTATGCCGCAGAGGCAGGCTTCTTAAAAACCACTGGTTAGTGGACAGCGCCAGCTTTGGAGTACAAAGGCTGGCTGGAATTTTGCCTTTGCACCTTAATGGTATTATCGTGTTTGTAGTAGTATGTATTCTTAGCTTTCCTTTTCTCATCTACTACAGGACAGTTATACTATCTCACTGCCTTGCCAGGGTGACAGGCAAAAGTCACGGCACAATGACTGCCCTAATAGTCATCAGGCAAGGAAGTCACACACTGTGCACATGTGTTTCACACACACACAAAACCAATCTAGACACAATGCTTTATTATTTTTAAAGCTTGGTGCTGATTATTTTACTGGGTCTCAGAGACATGAACGGCTCTGAATGTAGGCCAAGCTTTACTCATTTCAACAAGAACATCCCCAACCCCCTCCAACTGCCTGGATCACACCTCCCTCCTGTGATGGAAGCAACAGTGTCAAGCTGGGCTTTTCGTTAATATATTTAAGCTGATACAACTTATCTGCATTACCCCCGACTTCCAGACACCTAAGGCCGACTGATGAGCATAGAAACCGAGACTTGAATGCTGCCTGATCAGAATAATTGGGCCGGAGAGGAAACTACGCTAGGGCCCTTCGTTTGGTAAATTCACCAAGTCAAGCAGGAGAAGGCCAAGTTGTTGAGATGATACCTGTTAAATCTCTGAGCTGGTTAATGAAATTGACTTGTCCTATTCTTGGCGACTCTACAAGGTTGGAGACCCCCGCTCGGTCTCTAAAGCCATCGCGCACAACTCACTACAGAGCCCCGCTAAAAGTCACACACGGCCTTACCTACTCGTGACCTTCTCTCCTGTCAGCCCTTTTCCCGGAAGGCCAGCCCCCAGCCCGCCCCCAAGCTCCCGCCTGAGACTCCAGCGGAGAGCAGTAGAGAAACGGAAGCGTGATGGCTAGAGAGGAGTCTTAGGGAAAGACCCGGAACTCTTAACGTCGTACCTGGCGCCTGCGCAGTGAGAACAGCGCCTCCAGGTGTGCGGAGGACTGACAGGGACGCAGGTTCAGGTGCGAGAGGCCTGGTTTTCATGTACTGTCCTGCAGGGTTCGCTAATTGTATTTTGTTGGAAATGGCTCTAGCGCGGATCTCCCAACCTCTGAAGTAGTGTTTATACGAGCTCGTTGTTGGGGAGAATGAAATGCGTGTTTTCTTTGCCTCCTTCCGCTTTGTTTCTGTGTATTTTCTTTCGCTTTTCATGCAGCTTAGGCCTTGACGTGCTCCAAGCGCACTGCTTGACTTTAGGGGCTGAAGAATCTTCTGACTCACCAGGAGTGCCATTCCCCTCCCTCCGGGAGGCTATTCTTCATACACCTTTGCTGGGTTAGGGGCGCTGTTTGGAGCACTCTCTCTCTCTTTCCACCCAATGCCCTGAATCTTCTTCAGAGAGTAGACGGGGTATCTGTCTGACTCTTCAGTGGTTATTTAGACCCTCTTGGCAGTATTTCACTCCGTGAGAGATCGGCTTTCAAGCAAGTCACATAGGCATTGAATTGAAGCATTTGTTGAATGTTTGATAGTTCAACTGAAAACACTACTTATTTTCTGAGCATTATTCAAGGCCTGTCATAAATACTCTAAAAATGTACCCTGGGAAAATGCAAATCAACAGCGTGCTATGTACCTAGACACCCTCTTCCCTTCTACAGAACTTTGTATTATTAACTTAGGTTTTGACTTCTTATCAATATGTGCTTTAGAGTTTGTTTCTATCCAGTTAAGTTTTGACATATTATCAACCTATGATGACAAGTAACCTTGTTAACTTGGGTCTGGCTTAAGAAGTTGTCACAGGGTGTAATGAGTATAGCATGTATAACTCAGTCCAAAAAATATACTGGGTGGGAATTTCACCTTGTCTTGGCTTGTTGGCTTCCCCTGAATATTGGCTGTTAGAAAGTTTAAAACCAAATTTGCAATGGACTCATGGTAAGAGCTATTATGTGTATATTTCCGTAAACAAATATAAATCTTGTTGGCTCTGTTTTGTGTGTCTTTGATTTTCCCTTTTTTTTGGCCTATTTATTAGTTGTGTTATCAGAATGTTTTGTGAATCTCTGTCAGCTATCATAATTTTTTCTTAAAATGTAACAAGGCTTACAGGTGACTGTACTCTGGGGCAATTTACACTATGACTCCTATTAAGTCAATTTCATAGGGATCATACTATTTTCTAGAGCCTACTGTAACGAAATACCACAAGCTTGGTGGCTTCAAACACCAGAACTTTATTCTCTCACAGTTCTGGAGACCAGAAATCCAAAATCAGTATCCTTGAGACAAGACCAAGATGTTGGCAAGGCTGTGCTCCTTCCTGAGGCTCTGGAATAGAATCATTTCTTTGACTCTTCCAGCTTCTGGTGGTTGCTGGCATTCATTGACTTATGGCCACATCATTCCAGTCTTCAAGGCCAGAATCTTCAAATAGCTCTCTGCTTCCTCTTTATATCACCTTCTTCTTGATGTGTATCAGACCTCCTACTGCCTTCCTCTTAGAGGGATTATGTGTAATTGCATTTAGGGCCCACTTGATAACCCAGGATAATCTCCCCATCTCAAGATTCTTAATTAATTCACATCTGCAAGGGCCCCTTTCCCATATATAGTGGGATTCATACCTTCTGGGGGTTAGGACTGGCAACCTCAGGGGGACATTTTCCTGTCTACCACAGAGTTAGAAAGGCTATGATACTGATTTGTAGAATCTGTTACTGACCAAAGGGGAACTTTAAATATTAGGGTGGGCAAACTAATGGAACAGAATAAAATTTAACCTCCTGTGGACATTAACTTCCAGACCTTTGGTTACCCACTTGCACTTCCAAGCTAAAGCTTCCTTAAAGACACTTGTTACAGGTAGAAATTGCCTTATGTCTTTCTCTTTTCTGAAACCGAGCGTTTTAAAATTGTGGGTTATGAATCATTAGTTGGTTGTGAAATCAATTTAGTGAGTCATGAGCAGCATTAAAAGATGTTGGAGTAGGAACTAGCAGAGTGCATCGCATGTAGTAAGGGTAATTATTGTTTCATGAAACAATATGTATGTGTGTATTGGATCATGATATAAATATACTGCTTACTCTAGGCTTGTAGAAGGCATTTGCTGTAGGCAAATTCGCTATTCATCATCCTCTATGGCAAGTTTTCCTTGCTGTTGCAGCTGGAATTAAAGTTGACATCAACTGAAGTTCTTATTGTGTGGAATAGTCCATGGGGCAGGTGGATACCTACTCCCTCAAGTATAAGTTAATTTACAGAGCCTTATTTCTATAAGTGTTCTTCCCCAGTGTTGGGTAGGTTCTTTTATCTTATTTCTACATTTATAATAGTTCTTTCCCCAATTTACCAAAGAAAGATGCATTCCTTACCCAGGGTGTAAAAGCCTCCAGTATGACAAGCAAAAGTATTCAAGATGTTTTGGGAGAAGCTTCTTTTTCCCACTGATCATTATTTGTATTTATTAAAAACTTTTAGTTTTGTATTGAGGTATAGCTTATTAACAATGTTTTGTGGAAGTTTCAGCTGAGCAGTGAAGGAACTCAGCCATCCATATACATGTATCCATTCTCCCCCAAACCCCCCCCTTCCCATCCATGCTGGCATATAACATTGAGTCCATGTGCTATATGATAGGTCCTTGCTGGTTATCTGTTTTGAACATAACAGTGTGTACATGATCTTCCCAAACTCCCTAACTATCCCTTTCCCCTGGCAACCATAAGTTCATTTTCTAAGTCTATGAGTCTCTTTCCATTTTGTAAGTTAAGTTCCTTTGTATAATTTCTTTTTAGGTTCCACATAGAAGGGATATCATACGATATTTCTCCTTCTTTGTCTGACTTCACTCAGTATGACACTCTCTAGATCCATTTTCATTCTTTTTAATGGCTGAGTAATATTCCATTGTATATATGTGCAACATCTTTTTCTATTCCCCTGTTGATGGGCATTTAGGTTGCTTCCGTGTCTTGACTATTGCACACAGTGCTGCAGTGAGCATTGGGGTACATGTATTCTTTTAGATCATGTTTTTCTCTGGATATATTCCCAGGAGTGGGATTGCAGGGTCATATGGCAGCTCTATTTTTAATTTTTTTAAGGGACTTCCATACTGTTCTCCATAGTGGCTATACCATTCCTACCAACAGTGTAGAAGGGTTCCCTCTGGGAGAAGCTTTCTTTAATAATCAGTCAAGATAATGTAAATCTTTCTTAGGCTTCCATCTTTTCCCATTTTACATATGTTCCAGATAAGGGTGAAGTAAAATCTTAGATATGGTAATTGGATATTCGTTGTGACTTTCTGAAATCAGATAGACTATGTGAGTGTGAATGGTGGGAGTGATAGTAATTTTCCTTTAATCATCACATCTCTTTTATCTTCTGTGGTTAAGAAGTGTATTGTTATTGAAGGAGAGTCTGGCAAGAGCAGAGCAAAACTGGCATTGAAGAAAATATTGAGCCCTAATTTTTTTTTGTGTATATAAACATAAACAAAAAATTTTTTTCAGCTAGTCTCAATGCTTGTTTGTAGGATGTGTTGTTATCTGGAAAGGAAAGTGACTTTGAACAACTGAAGGAGTGAAGGTTAGTGACACTGATTCTTTACCCAGGGATTGAACCCAGGTCTCCTGCGTTGCAGGCGGACTTTTTACCAGCTAAGCCTCAAGGGAAGCCCAAGAATACTGGAGTGGGTAGCCTATTCCCTTCTCCAGGGGATCTTCCAGACCCAGGTCTCCTGCATTGCAGGCAGATTTTTGTTTACCAACTGAGCTATCAGGGAAGCCCTCTTTTAAATAGAAAATGAATTATTTTAAGAGATCTTTGTATTTTTTTCCCATTACATAGAATAATCTGCAAAAACATCATGCATAAATTTTATTTGCTTATTATTTTAATGGCCACTTTTGGTACCACCTAAAATCATTTTGTGTACACCCATCAGTGCCTTAATTTTATTTTAGATTTGGCATGTGTTGTTCAATGAAATTTAAAACATATTGTGAAAAATCACAGATCACCAAATAGTTCCTGTTCCCTCTATTTCCAGGCATAAGATTGTAGTTCATTTCATGCCAGTTCTTGGAGTTGGTAAGGCCATATGACTACCTATAGCCAGTGGGTTATAAACAGAAGTGAAGTGTTGCCTTTACCCACACGAAACTCTCTGGAGCTCTCCTTTCCCTCTGGTACAGAGGGTCTTTGCTTTGCCAGCCTCCAGAGTTGTGATTATGAGGAACAGATCCTGTTCTGCCGGCCACAGTGTGCACCTAGCTCAGGTTGGAAAGAAGCCTGTGTTGTCTGAAGTCGTACAATTTTGTTTTTACAGCAGCATGACATGGCCCATCCTGTCTGATACATGCATTTTATCAAATTCTGTCATGAAGTACGTAAATACCTCCCTGTTTAATAATTTCTGCCTCTTATTAACAATAAAATTATGTGCTAGCTGCTAGACTGACTTGTTTTTAACAGGATGTACTTTTATTCTTCATTAAATATAAGGGGAAATTTTTATTGTTATTAAAAAAAACTGCTTAGAGTATCACAGAACTTTTATGTGATTTTTATTTAGTTATTCCTGAAAGTTGAAAACCAAATTTCAGTATACACATGGACATACTTATTAAAGGGATACTTTGATTTAAAAAAACATTCTAATTCATAAATAGTATTTATTTTGTTTTACTATTGTGAATTAGCTTATTAAAAAGCGGAGACATTACTTTGTCAACAGAGGTCTGTCTTGTCAAGGCTATGGTTTTTCCAGCAGTCA